CTGTTTTCGGCCTCCTCGGGCCTTTGCTGGGACCCAGGACCGTCAACAAAACGACTCGGGAGGAAAAACAGGCTCTGGGGGCAGAGCGGGGACTTTCGGGGGCCGCGTATGTAGCAAACATCAAGACATCGAATGTCTGGGCAGCTCGAATCTAGTTCGACGCTGGCTCGACTAGCCCGGACCAAGCTCGACTCGAGCTCGGCTCAGGTCGACGCGCGTCCGACGCAGCATCGACGCGTGAGTGGAGCGGATGGTTCAAGGAGGGCCCCCAGCGAGCATCCGAGCCGCGCTGGCCGAGATCGTCGGTCGACTTCCACCATGCAGCCAGCGCGCTGAGGGAGCCTTTTGTTGTGGCTCGCTGTGGCGATAGGCCTCTCTCGCCTGCTCTGCTGGGCTTTGCCGTCGCAGGCTCCCCCCCGACGGGGAGGGCGCGGGGCCAGCCACGGGACGACGACGGCGCCAGATCCAGATCTACGACGCTATGTCGCCGCGCCGTCTGCTCCGACGCGCGGCATTGCGTCTTGGGGAGGGCGCCGCGGCCACCAGGTCGGATTCCGCTTCGGACGGTGAGCTTGCCGTGGGCTTGCTGCAGTGCCGACGTCGTCTACTTGGGGCGCGGGTCGCAGGGTTTGCTGTGGGTTTGCCGAGGTGTCGGCGTCGTCCCCTCGTGCGCGCCGAGAAACCCCGCGGCGACGAGTGATCTTTTTGGTGTCAGCGTTTTTCCTCGGTTGCGGCCCCTGGGGCTCGTGCTCGGGCCCCGCGGCCATCAAACGTGGATCTGGGACGAGTGGCCACCTCCAGGGCATGGGGTGGGATCTTCCTGGGGCTGCGTATTGAAAATTGTTTTTGGTCTCAGCGTCGGTCCCAACTATGAAAGCGACCACGTCAGCAAAGCCGGCACAGGTCTCGGACAAAAACAGCCCTGGTGTCCAGGAAAGAAGCCCTGGTGCTGCATAGCATTTAGGGGGTATCCTCGGATGCTGGGTTCGCGCAATGACAAAGTCACGACGGAAGGTTTTTGGCAGTTCTCGGCGTTTGGTGGGCTTGGCTCGGTCCTGGGGCCGTCAGCAAATCAAACGGCTCAGGATGACAAGCCAGTCTGGGGAAGGGTTCCAGGCCGTTGGGGAGCCACATGGTGACAACAGATGCGACGTCGGATGTTTGGGATGAGGTGCCACGTTTCCCTCCTCCTCCTCCTCCTCCTCCTCCTTCCTCTCCTCCTCCTCCTCCTCCTCCTCCTCCTCCTCCTCCTCCTCCTCCTCCTCCTCCTCCTCCTCCTCCTCCTCCTCCTCTCCTCCTCCTCCTCCTCCTCCTCCTCCCTCTCCTCCTCCTCCTCCTCCTCCTCTTCTTCCTCCTCCTCCTCCTCCTTCCCACGGCCCCCCCCCAAAAACTAGGCATGCCACTCAATATTCTCCTCCTGCCCCCCCCAGAACTCAACATTCCTCGTCCTCCTCCCTCTCCCTCTCCTCCTCCTCCTCCTCCTCCTCCTCCTACTCCTCCTCTTTCTCCTCCCCCTCCTCCTCCACCTCCTCCTCCTCACTCTGTGAACTTTTTGGGCTGTCGCTCCCTGCTGTCGCCTGTGCGCTGGCCGAGGCAGCGTCGATTGATTTCCACCGTGCGCGCCGGCGCCTGACAGAGGTCGCTGAGATCCGACGCTGCATAACAACTGCAACTTCGCAACAAAACACCCCCGCAGCCCCGGACCCAATCTTCCTGTGCCATTTTTGAAGCGGATCGATATGTGAGGATCCCAGGGCCCGAAAGTGAGCGAGAAAGCCAGCTGTGAAAAAATTGCAGCGCCAGGATCTCCGGGGTCCAAGGAGAGCTGCGGTCCCAGACCCCCTCGCGCTGTCAATCAAGGCTCCCGGCTATAGCCTATGCGTCGCCTACCATAGTCGACGTATGCATCGGCTATGCACAGGCCTGCTATAGGTCTACCTATGGGCTACCTACAGGTGTACTATAGGCATACGCACAACCTATGCATCAGGGGATCCTTATCTACGCGTTGCGACAATAATCACAACGGGCTTCGCTATCTTCGGCCTCTGGGGGCCCAGTCCGGGCTTCGGGGGCGTCAACAAAAAACGATTCAGGCTGAAACCGGTCCGGGGAAGGGATTCCAAACCTCTGGGGGTCGACGTTGTGAACAAATCACGACGTCGGGGGTCTGGGGCGGGGGCGTTCGTGGAAGAATGTGCCCAGGAGGCTTCAGACCCTGGGGTATTCCTTACCTTGCTGAGGGCCCCACTTGGAGTCCTGCCCGCTTCCAGACCCTGGATTCCTTATCCAAGGGTTCGCCCTCACCGTAAGCATACGGTCAGGAACTTTTGGATAGCGTGTCGCTCCGCTGGTTCTGGCCCACCGCGCCTCGGCGCGACACGCCATCCATTCCCCGGTCCCCCAGCGTCAATGTCCCGAGCCTTTCCTGACCTCCCGCCCTGCGGGGCGGAGCGACATGCTATCCGCTCGCGGGGGATAGCGTGCCGCCGGGGCCGCCGCCGCGACACGCTGTGCAGAAGTTCCCGCCTGTCAGCGCGAACTTTCGGAGATCCGCCCAGATATTTTGGGTCGTCGTTGGACCCCCCGTTGGTAAGCGCCTCTGGCGCCGCGCCCCCAGGCGTGCTCCGCGCGGCCAGGGAGGGGGGTCCAGCGCCGGCCCAAAAAATCCGTGAAGACCACCGACAGATTATGGTTAGTCCTTCGCCTGCTAATGGGGGTCAGCCTTTTGAGGATTTGTTTGGGGGGGCCAGGACAACTGAAGCTCAACTACTAGGGTTATTATTTGTGTTCGGGTCTGTAGCTGTCTCAACAACTATGAATTCCTTTGTTTTTGCTGGGTCGGCCCTTTAAAATTCTTCGCCCGGCCCAGTATTTGTATCAGAACGTTTCTCCCAACGAAGCCAGGTGAAATTCCGTATCTTCCGCTGGCTGACCGGCTGGATTTACATGAATTGAATTGAATTGCATGGGATTGTATTGAGCTAGCTGAAGTGGATGAACTGTCTGGCACATTTTAACACGCCCGCGGGCGCAACAGCAACCGCAACGAGGCGACACATTTCAACCCGCACGCTGGCGAAACCGCAACCGCAACCGCAACCAGGCGACACATTTCAACCCGCTCGCGGGCGCAACCGCAACCGCAACCAGGCCCGCGGGCGCAACCGCAACCGATACTGGGTGGCACATTTCAACCCACCCGTGGGCACAACTACAACCAGGCGACACATTTCAACCCGCCCGCGGGCGCAACTGCAACCGCAACGGCGACCGGGCGACACATTTCAACCCGCCCACGGGCGCAACCGCAACCGCAACCAGGCGACACATTTCAACCCGCCCGCGGGCGTAAGCGCAATCGCAACCGGGCGACACATTTCAACCCACTCGCGGGCGCAACCGCGACCACAACCGCAACTAGTCTCTACCAAGCGACACAGGTCAACCCGCCCGCGGGCGCAACTGCAACAGAAACCAGGCGACACATTTCTCCCCGCCCGCGGGCGCAGCCGCAACCGCAATCAGGCGACACATTTCAACCCGCCCGCGGGCGCAACCGCAACCGCAACCAGGCGACACATTTCAACGCGCCCACAGGCGCAACCGCGACCGCAACCGCATCTAGGAAGGTAGACATTTCAAACTGCCCGCAGGCGCAACCGCAATCGCAACCAGGTGACACATTTCAACCCACCTGCTGGCGCAACCGCAACCGCAACCGCCACCAGGCGAGACATTTCAACCCGCCCGCGGGCGCAACCGCCCTCAGGAGCTGGAGGTTCATGAACACGATGACGGGGAGGAGGAGGGAGCGGGGCGAGGAGGATATGCAGGACGGCCAGGAGGAGGATGACGACGACGACGACGACGATGAGAAGGACGATGCGGGGCTGGTCGTATTTCAGGGGGGTGCAGGAGCAGGTGCTGGTGGAGGAGGGAATCCAACGGCACGAGAGGAAGATGGGGGGCCTTGAGGATGAGAAGGAGGAGGAGGAGGAGGAGGAGGAGGAGGAGGAGGAGGAGGAGGAGGAGGAGGAGGAGGAGGAGGAGGGGGGGGAGAGGAGGAGGAGGAGGAGGGAGGGAGGAGGAGAGGAGGAGGAGGAGGAGAGGAGGAGGAGGAGGAGGAGGAGGAGGAGGACGCGTTGCCCGCGGTTCTCCGCCGGGACATTGCAGCGGGGAATCCCCATTTCACGCTGCTGCCTCAGTTTTCTTTAGTTTGCCCTTCGCCGACTCTGACCCCTAAGAGTCTGACCCTCATTAGCAGGCGCATGTATTAGATGTTTCTTCTTCAAGGGACAAACATACATGGCATAAACATGAACTTTCGGAGGTCCGCGCGGATTTCTTGGATCGGCGCTGTCGCCCGGGGTGCCGCTGGGGGGCGCCAGCGCCGATCCAAGAAATCGCTTCGGACCTCCGACAGGTTATGTTTATGCAAGGGTTTGTTCCTGAACTCCTGCTCCGTAACAGTCTCTTATCCGCCCCACCCCCCCAAACACGGTACCAATCGTACGTAGGAGCGTACATGGCAATTTGACCCTACATACTAAACATATTACCTCCCACACCAAGGGAGGAAGGGGGGCCCTGGACCCCCCTCCTTCTGCTGGTGCTCGCGTGCGCACTATGGCTATCGCAGCGCACCCCCGCCCCGACGTGCCCCACTCCACCCAAGCGATACCATTACCCAGCTTCGCCCCCCCCGGGTAACGACGTTACCGGAAATAGTAAAACGGTTCATCAGCGTGTGCCGCTGTCTCTTCTTCCAAGACAAGTGCCCCATTCCTCCTGCTCATCCTCCTCCTCCTCCTTCTCCTCCTCCTTGTGTGCACCGTACCGTGTCGGCGTCTCCCGAAGCTTCGTCGACGACCCTCGGCACAGGAGTTCGGCCTTAGGGTCGAAAAACGATGCACCCTGCCTCGGTGGGGCGTGACCAGAAGGGAGTCCCGACACGGTGTGGTGGCTGTGCGCCGTTCTCGCGCCCTCCCCTGAGCCGCAGTCTTTTTTGGGGCCCAGTCTTTGCACGGGGCGGTGCACGGCCAGCCCCCCCCCGTGACGGCATCGCATGACGCACCGGCGGGCTGCGCTGGCCTGGGCGGCCGCGTGGGCGGCGAGCCCGGGCGCGCGGGGCAGCAGCGCCGCCTCGAGCTGGTACTACAAGAGCCCGCACGCGTGCACGAACAGCGACGGCCCTGAGACGCAGAAGTGCAGGGCGGACGCCGAGTGTCGGTGGTTCAAAGATGGGGTCCTCAGGGAGTGGGGCCTAAGGAGAGGACTAGAGCACCCAGGGTTCGCGTCCCTCCAAAACGACGAGGACCCTTCCAAAACCCTCCCGGAACCTTCCGAAAAGCTTCCGGGAACTTTTCCCGGAAGGTTTTGGGAGGATTTCGGGAGGGTTCCGGCTGTTTCGAAAGGAAACTAGCCGCTGGAGAACCCCAGACTTTCTAAGGATAAGAGGGGATCCAAGGGTGGATTTTTACGTTGTTTGAGGCACCTCGTCCTCGAGACTCCACCCTTCAGAACTCCGTCCTTGAACCACCGAGAGAACTGGGGCTGCGCCGGCGGGGTGGACACGCTCTACTGCGGGGAGAGCGAGAAGCAGACCTGCCGGGAGATGGGCAGCGAGGTTTCGGCAGCGTCACCGGACGGCTTCGGCTTCATGTGCCCTTCGCTGATGCTCGGGACGGCAGAGATGCTGGCGGCAGCAGAGGCAGACGGCTACCAGGGTACGTATGCAGTGGTCACCATCGACGCGCTCTCATGCGGCCAGTGTGTCGAGATCGAGAACGACGACCTTGCCAGCTTTCCCAACGCTCCGAAGATCACGGCGCAGGTCTTCAACTCGGTTGCAAGTTCCGTCGACGTTTACATGGCCGGTGGAGGCCTCGGCGCCAACAACGGCTGCGCTGCCGTGGAGGGCTACTCCCCGATGGCGGCGATGTACGAGAAGTACCCCACGTCTAAGAACAGCGAGTTCGTCAGCCACCTGAAAAGAGCCGGGTACCCGGATGCCGAGAAGTGGTTGGACGAGGTCATCTCGTATGCTGGGGGACTGCGGGGTGGCAGATCATATGCGGAGTGCATGAAGTCAGGCAGGAACACCACCACGCAGTGCCAGCCTCCAGGGAACGGCTGCGATGGCATGAGCGGCGTCTGCATCACCGACCCGCTGGCTGCGTGCACGTCGGCCTTCGTCGGCAAGTCTGACTACGTGACGCAGAAGGCGGTCGAGAGCTGCATGTACGCATTCGAGCACGACCTCCACTGGAACAGGCCCATCACGTACCAGGTGGTGCCTTGCCCTGCTGGCCTGACAGCCCTCACGGGCATGATTCCCAGCGTAGCGGACGAGAGCAGGCGGGGCGAGCGTGTGAAGAGCACGACCACGACCATGGAGGATTGCTGCGAGCCCACCTGCAGCCGCGCGTCGGCGCTGGAGTACGCCACGGAGCCTGGTTCCTGGGTGAGCGGGAACGAGGTTATATACACATGCAACATCCTCGGCCAGCCGTTCCTGGAGTCCACCAGCAGAGTCTCCGACCCCTGCGAGCAGCCGGCCAGCGGCGCGGAGCTCAGCAGGCAGGGCGGGTCGGGGCCGTTTGGAGTCCCACCGCTGGAGCAGCAGGGTGGCCCGAGCAGCGCAGCGTCAGCCAGCGCCGCCCGCGCCCCCGCGCCGCCGCAGATCCCAACCAGCGTGCCGACGCAGAGCCCCATCAGCGCGCCGTCCACCAGCACCGCCCGCTCCCCCGCACCGCCGCAGATCCCCGCCAGCTGGCCGCTGCAGCACTCGAGCAGCGCAGCGTCAGTCAGCACCGCCCGCGCCCCCGCGCCGCAGATCCCTGCTGGCGTGCCCACGCAGCACCCGAGCAGCGCGCCGTCAGCCAGCACCGCCCGCGCCCCCGCGCCGCCGCAGATCCCCGCCAGCGTGCCGACGCAGAGCCCGATCAGCGCGCCGTCCACCAGCACCGCCCGCTCCCCCGCGCCGCCGCAGATCCCCGCCGGCGCGCCGGCGCAGCACCCCGCGGGCGCGCGAGCGCAGAGCCCCAACGGCGCAGAGCCCGGCACGCAGGGCGAGCTGAGGGCGTCCATGGGCCCGTCGCTGGCCCGGGTGGGCGGCTGGAAGAGCGGCGCCCCGCCGGCGGTCACCGCCCGCGGCGGCGCGTGGCCGCAGAGCCCGAGCACCACTGGTGCTCTGGCGCCAAGCCCCGCCGACGAGCCCGGTGGGCCTCGGCCCCCCGTGCTTCGGGGCACCCCGCCGCCGCGGGGGCCGCGCGCGCAGGGCGCGCCGGCGGGCACCGGCGGCCTCGGAGGCGTCGCCGCAGGCGCCAGCGCCACGCGCACGGCTGGCTCGGCTGCCGCTCCCGGCGCGGCCGTCGCTCCGGCAGGGCCTGGGCCCGCAGGGGCCTCCCCCGCGGGCGCCCACGACCAGCAGTGCCCCGGCGCGTACGAGCAGTGCGGGGGCGACGGCTGGAGCGGCGCCGGCTGCTGCCAGGGCTCCTGCGTCTGCACCGCCTACGCGGAGAGCTACGCGCAGTGCGTGCCCCCCGACGGGGGCGCCGGCTGCGGAGGCCTGGCGGAGGCACCGGGCGGCGCGGTCGCGGCGATCGTGCGGAAGGACGCCCTGGTCGGCGGCGGCGCGCGCCAGGCGCCGGGCGGCGAGGCGTGGGCGGTGGCCCTGGCGTGCGCGGCCCTCGGGCTGGCCTCGGCGGGCGCACTGCTCGCGCGGCGGGCCGGCGCCGCGGGGCGGCGCGCGGCCGCTCGGCCCTGCGGCGGGCGCGTCGGCCAGGACGCGGGCGAGGCGGCGGCGATGCTGGCAGAGTAATTAGCGGTCCGCGGTGGTGCCCCGAGGAGGCCGCTCGTCTCGAATTCGTCTCTCGTCTCTCCCGTGCTCTTGCTCTCTCTCTCTCTCTCTCTTTTTCTGTCCTCTCCCTCTGCTCCTCCCTCCTGCATGTCTGCCTGGCCGTGTCTCTGCCTCCCTCTCTCCATGCCTCTGGCAGTCTGCTTGTTCGTCGCATCAGTAGGATTGGGGCCTCCCATCCGCACCCCTTTCCCGCACGGCCAGAGCTCCCAGCATTGCATGCTAATGTGCCCCCTTCACGCCTGCGGTGTCTATCGACAAGGAGAGCCGGCTCATATGGCTGGCTCTCTTTCGCTCCGCTCGACGGCCTGGACAATTCACGAATGCATCTGCACGCCAGGCAAAAGGTCGAGCGGCCGTCAATCGGGGCAGGGCCTGGGCTGTTGCCCCGCCCCCGCCCATGCCAGGCGAATTCGTGTCACGCCGGTGACGCTCGATTCCTTTTTTCGTTACCTCGACGCTGATCGAAGCGGATGCCGTGTCTGAACGCCCGTGCGGACAATCCAGAGGCCACACGCGTGGCCATAAAAGAGCAGAGTAGCAGCGCGCACATCAGCAGCTAGAGGGGCAAATAGCGGCGGGATAGTGGTGAAGCCGGAACCGGGCCGGGTTAGGACGAGGATAGAGAGCCGTTCCAGAGCGTTCCGGAACGCTCTGGGACTCTGGGAAGGCCGCGGCGCCCGAGACACCTTCCAGCGCCGCGGGATCTCAGAGACTCCCGATCCATCTCTACCCGGACTTGCCCTCGTCCTGGCCCCGTCTTACCGAAGAGGAGCTGGAGGTGGGCACACCGGCGCGGTGCCCCGACACCCGCCCCACACTTCGCCTCGAGTCTCCCCCCCTCGCCTCTTCCCTCCTGTGCCTTCCCGCGCGTGGCGCCGTGCGCGGCGCCCGGGGTCAGGGCCCGCTCGCTATGGTTGGTGGAGGGGTCGATCCGAAGATCGGCGGCGAGCGAGGGGGGCAGTTCGAGGTTCGAGGTTTTCGGACGCTGTCGTCGATTCTCGGCGTTTCTCCAGCCCCGGGATGCTTGCCAGCAGCTGCGCCTCGCCGAGGGCGTTCCTGGGGAGCCCGGATCGTCCCGAACGGCCGCCAGAGACCCGAGTTATGTTATGACCCAACAACCAAATTCAGCGGCACGCTGGGGGGGAATTGAGAAGGAGAAGGACTTCTCAGAAGGCGGCGAGACTTCTCGGAGGCCCTTGCGCCTTCTGAGAGGTGTTCTGTGTCTTCGGGAAGAGCTTAGGAAACTTCTCAGAAGGCCGGGGGTCTTCCGAGCCTTCTGAGAAGGCCCGCCCCTTCTCATTTCCCTTTGGGCTCGCCGCCGAAGAGATGCCCTTGGCCGCGCATTCCGACCCGACCCGAGTTCCCGATTCGATGCCGACGGATGCCGCCCTGCGCCTTCGCAGATCGACGCGGCTCGAGAGCTGCCGGGGCCTCTGGCTCTGGCCGGGAGCTTCCGCGGTGTGCATCTTTCCCACAACGCTGGATTTTCCTGATTTTTTTGTTTAAACAAAGAACAAGAAAAACGATTCAGGCAAGTGTCGTTGCATGGCGTTCGCCCCCCCCCCCCCCCCCACCCTGGGGCCCTCGCCCCTCTTCGGACGAATGCTGGCGTGCAAGGGCCTCTCGACGTGCGTGGCCTCCGCACGTGCAAGTCGTGGGCGACTTGCTTCAGGCTCAAGCCCCTCCCCCCTTGTCCATGCAAGGAAACTTGCCGGAGTCTAGTAAAACAGTAAAACAGGCTCGAGGGGAAGGATCTGGAGGGACTCCAGATAGCCGACGAGCAGCCCACAGCACCCATGGAAGCCTCGGCCCTGGATCCTCGCTAGCCATTGCGTGGAGGTGCCGCCGGAGGCGCCGTCGGAGGCGATGTCCTCGGAACCCTCGGAGGCGCCGTTGTCGTCGCCGTCCTCGGCGCCCTCGCCGTCGACGTCATCGGGGGCGCCGCCCCCTGGGGTGTCGCCTACGTCGGCGTCGCCTTCGATGGCCGCCTTGAGGTCCTTGTGAGGCCCAGCTGCAGCTGGAGAACATGCACAACCTAACCACAGCAGCGCGCAGACAACTACGCGTGCCCAGCTGCAGCTGGGCACCATCCAACAGCACTATAGCTATCCTGTGCGGCCTGGGCGCGGAGGCGGGCGAGGGCGTCGGGCTCCAGCTCGACGAACAGGGGGGCCCGCTCGTCGTTGCTCTGCAGCACCCTGACGACGCCGCCACCGCAGTCGACCTCCACGATGGGGGCAACGTGCCCGCACCTACCATAGCCGCGTAGTCCTTCTGAGGACCAGCTGCAGCTTGGCAACATAGACTGGCACCGAAGCCACATATCCTTGAGAAGCTTGCGCTTCTTGTGGGCGCCGCAGGTGTCGAGTTGGGCCCCCGGCGGCGCAGCCGCACGCAAGCTCGCCTGCTTGCGCTTGTGGCTCAGCGCGTCCACCATCTTCCGCACCACAGTGCTGCGCTCGTCCTCTAGCCTCCAGTGTGCATGTCGCTTTTTCCACGTCTCGGCCAATGCAAACTTAGTAAAAGCCGCCCTGCCCACCGCGTAGGCCACTGCCTGCAATGACACAATAGCCCCGACCCGACCGACCTATCCCACGCGCGCAGGCGTCGGCTGTAGCCGACGCGTCGCTCGCGGGATCTAGCTGACTGTCAACCCGAATGGGCAGGCGGGCGCGCGGCAGCACGGGTGTCGACTCGCCGATGGACATCCACCTCGCCAGAGGCAGTGCCGTCGACGATCTCTTCCCTCGACACGCGCCATGCGCAGCCGCCGTCGAGGGTCACGACCGCCTTGCGCTCCACCGCAATCGCCATGTGCGCACCGCGGTGTACTAACCCCCATAGACCGCCGTCACACCTGTGCCACAACAGGCTATGGCCCTGTCGGTGGCTTCGCCGTCGCGCCAAAGGTTGCGCGCTCGGCCGCCGAGAGTGGAACGGCCTCATATTTGTTGCGCCATCGGTTGCGCCATCGGCCGCCGCGGATCTAACTGACTCCGACTGGTTGTGCCATACGTTGCGCCCTCGGCCGCCAAATAGATAACTGGCTCCTATTGGTTGTGCCATAGGTTGCGCCATCGGCCGCCGATGACATAACTGGCTCCCATTGGCTGCGCCATAGGCTACGCCATCGGCCGCCGATGACATAACTGGCACATACTGGTTGCGCGATAGGTTGCGCCCTCGGCCGCCGATGGTACCACTGGCTCCTACTGGTTGCGCCATGGGTTGCACCCTCGGCCGCCGAGAATATGACTGGCCCCGATTGGTTGAGCCGTTGGCTGCGCCCTCAGCCGCAGATGATATAACTGGCTAGTATTGTCTGTGCCATAGGTTGCGCCCTCGGCCGCCGAGGATAGAACTAGCTCCTATTGGCTGTGCCATAGGTTGCGCCCTCGGCCGCCGAGGGTATAGCTGGCTCCTATCGGTTGCGCCATAGGTTGCGCTCTCGGCCGCCGAGGATATAACTGACTCCTGTTGGTTGCGCGATAGGCTGCACCCCCGGCCGCCGAGGATATAACTGGCTCATCGGTTGCGCCCTCGGCCGCCGATGGTACAACTGGCTCCTATTTTCTGCGCCATAGGTGGCACCCTCGGCCGACGAGGATATAACTGTATCTTAGTGGTTGCGCCATCGGTTGCGCCCTTGGTCGCCGAGGGTACAACTGGCTCCTATTCATTACACCATAGGTTGCGCCCTCGCCCGTCAGTCAGTTACCTCGCGAGAAACAGATCCGGGCTACACCCGAAATTATATGATATTCCTCATCCCTCACCACCCTCGTCACCATTCCCGTCATCCCTCTCGGCATCCCTATCGTCATCCCTCATCATTTTTGTCGTGCTACACTGTCGCATTCCTCTGCCACCCCCTTCCTCATCCGCTCCGCCGTCCTCCTCCACGCGGGCTGCAGCCAAACGGGTGCCTGCAGCGACCCGACGCGCGCAACTGATTGTCGTCGCGCGCGGCCGACCCGCCGTTGGCAGACGCCCGCCGCTCCAACGCTGCGGGTTCATATGTCAGCCGACGCCCAGTCGGCAGATATGTCTCCCGACACGCAGTCGGCAGACTATACCGTGCAGCGGGGATGTCCCTTGCGCATCTCCCCCTTCTTCGGCGGCGCGTTCAGCTTGAGCTGGTCGCCTGGGAGGCTACGCAAACCGCGCATCGTCGTCGTCGTCGTCGTCGCGCCTGGCTTCACATCCATGTTGTGCACCATGCACGGCGCGTTCAGCGTTTGCGTGCCCGTGTTGTCCGTCAAGATCACCTCGACGGTGCTCTGTTTCATATTGCCACCCTCGAAGCTGGGTACGCACCAGTACTGCGTCACCCACTTCACCGTCGCCTTCTCACCCGAGTCGATGTGCGGCATGATGGCCACGCCGAATGTCGATGATGGCATGCCATCACGCTGCAGCGTGATGGTTCCAATGTCGGCCGCCAACATCGACTGGTTAGCCCAGGCCGCGCCAGCGGCATTCGTTTTGAATTTGGCGCTAGTCTCCACCAGCGTGAGCTCGCCCCTTTTGTACTTGGCGTCGCCTTGGGGCGGGAGCTGCGGCTCGACGCCCATGGCGAACCGACACGTGCACGCTCAAACACACATGATTTCCACCGAAACAGTCAACCTAACACAACTAAACACACACGCACCGCTGTTTAGATAACGCGCGCCTGTGAGATACACCCTGGTCGGGGACTCCAAGATCGCGATGGACCCGAGCACCTTGCGGTGCTTGTCATGCGCGGTCCGCATCGCGGGCATGCATATGCCGACGGCGACGTCGGCGTCCCAGCCGTCGTGCATGTGCGGCGGCGCCGCCGCCGCTTTCTTCGCCGCCCGCGCGACCAATGGCGCCGCCCTCTTCGGCGGCGCGACGACCACTGGCGCCCTCGCGGCGGCGCCTTGCGGAGGTGCCATCGGCGGAAAGGCCGGGCACCGCCGCCCCCGCCAAGGGCCGAACATCGCCCCGCGCCGATGGGGCCCGAGGCTGCAGCTCGCTGGACGGGCTTGCAACCGCGAGGACGTCCAGTTCAATTGCACATCGCGGCACACATGACCGACCACAACACAGCACGACAGCGAACCCGATAACGAAAACACTGCAAGGCCAGTTATACAGCTCACACGCACATGCAACTCCAACGTTTAAAACATGCGTACAATTCATCACACTTGAAACGCCACCCGCGAACCCGATGACACCATGATCGAACCAAAACACATTAAGCCCCAATGAAAGTTGCAACAACATATGCACAAGCAACGAACACATCAATGCATGTAGCACATCATGGTCTCAATATGACGCGCAACATAAATGAGACCCACATGCAAGCCAAATGAGCAACCAATTAATGTGGAGCGTCATGGTCGAAATCTGACATACAAGGCAACTGAGACAACCATATATGTAACGCGTCATGGCCGCAATTTCATATGCAAAACACATGAGAAAACACTATCATGTAACACCTCGTGGTCGACATATCACATGCAAAATACATGATAAACAATATATGTAACACAGTATGGTCGCAACCACACATGCAAAACACATGAGTCACACTAGACTGTAAGACACCATGGCCGACATATCACATGCAACTCACATGGGAAACAATGGATGTAACACATCAGGATCACAATCTCAAGTGCAAGAGAACACTGGAAATGGACACCATCATGGTCGATGCACCACATGCCAACCCATCGGAAACCACGAATGCAACCATACATGGCTCGAACCAATCGCACGCAGCACAAGTGAGAAACATGTACGCCCAAAGAACAGACATGGATGCAATCACCATGGATCGAACCACTCGTACGCAAAACAATTTAGAAATTCATAGTCGTAACACGTCATGGCCGAACCACCACATGCAGACTCACATACTAAAAACAAGCACGCATGCAACCACCATGGGTCAAACCAAACACATCTCAACACAAACGGAACCGCCTGCACAAACTAAAACACGATTAAACCATAACCAACAACCAAATGAATAAAACGTTGACCCGTCACGCCATGACCTGAAAGCCCGACCCCAAGCTTAGATAGGTTTAACTAGCCTATGGTAAAAATATGTTAGAGGGTCAGCTAGCTCATGTTAACTCATGCGAAGCGTTCTATAATTCATCTTGAAGTATGTTAAGAAATGGTGAATGCACGCAACGCATGTTAAATACCAGGTCGGGCTTATGACGCGTTAGCTAACTTTGGCCACGCTGTCTTACATGTGATTGTGTTTTAGCGCAGCGGCTGAACATTACTTAGCATTACTTGACTTGGCTAGCTCGTTTTAAGTGCATACTTACTAAACCGAGCTTGACTCGTATCAGCCATGTTAAGACATTATCATTTATCTTAACGCGCCGTGGAGCATCCTAACCGTTAGCAGGTTATGTTAAATACTTCTGCGTCCATTATAGCGACGTTTGAGAAGTTATCGTGATTTCTGTTGTGCTTGTACATCCTTGTCGTATGTTTCTAGCAACTTAGTAAGTAGCTTGCTCAACGTAAGCAGCGGTGCAACCAAGCAGGGGCTCCAGACTCCAACGAGAAGCTGGGGGGACACCTTTGGCAACCCCCGACGCCCTTGGGCGCTCAGGGCCCTGGCCAGCGGGGGCGCCGCCCGAGGCGAAAGGCCGCGGCCCCTGTCGGACTCCTCGGCTGGCCCGCCGAGGGGCTCCGCGCCAGGACGGAGCCCTTGGCCCGCGCCGCCTCGAGCGCGCCGCCTCGACCGCGCCGCCTCGAACGCGCAGGTCTGGACCTGAACGCCACCGCCGTGCTGTCCCCCGCCCTGGGCGCCGCGCGGGCCGTGCTCTTCGGCGCCCGCTCAGGCTCGGAGCGCGGGCCCGCCGCGGCCCCGTCGCCGCGGCCTGCGCCTTCCACGCCGCCCCCGCAGTCGCCGCCGCCGCGCTCGCCGCCGCCGCCGCAGCCGCCGCCGCCGCTGTTGCCGTGGCCGCTGGCGCCCTCGTCGCGTCGTCGTCGTCGTCGTCGCCGCCGTCGTCGTCGTCCTTGTCATCGCCGTCGTGCCGGGCCGGCCGCCGCGGGCCCGTGGAGCTGCAGACCCCCTCGAGGGCGCCGTGAGGCGGAGAGCTCGGGGCGGCCAGTCCTTTCGAGCGCTTTTTGTGGTCGGCGCCCTGGGCAGGAGGCCCTTGGCTGGCATCCGCGGCGTGCGAGGCGGCATCCCGCGCATCTGTCAGGAGGGAGAAAAAACACACGGACATACATAAAAGTCGATTCCCGGGCAAATCTGAGGACACGTGGGATGTGGAGGACAAGACGGAACTCCAGGAACAAACTGCAAAGGCAGGGGATCCTGGGAGTCTGGGAGTTGTGTGTGTGTGTCTCTATTTGTGTGCCCCTGGGCCCCTTTCCATCTGGCGCCTCATCAAGTGTGCGACGGCCAGCTTGCCGCAATCTCTGGCCTCTCGGCGCCAGCTATAGGCCCGTCTCTGTTTTTTACAGCTCCCGGTCGAAGTGAACCCCACCCTCCCACTCATAAATCGTGGGGGGTACGGGTAGGGCTCGCATGTGGCCCCTTATTTTATATACACGAAAAACGGTTCGGAAGGGAAGGCCGGCCCCGGAGAGGAGATCCAGAGGTCCCGGGCCCAGCAACCCCTCGAGGAACTCTGCGCGGCCTTCTCGAGCGTTTGTGCTTATATTAGGGGGCCACATGCGAACCCTACCCCTACCCCCCACGATTTCTAGGGGGGAGGGTGGGGTTCACTTTCTTCGAAAGCTCCCGAGCGAAGTGAACCCTACCCTCCCCCTCAGAAATCATGGGGGGTAGGGGTAGGGTTCGCATGTGGCCCCCTATATATGATCCCGGGCTCCGGGCCCACGGGCCCCCCCCCCCTCCCCCCCAGATGGTATGGTCCCAGGATTCCTCGGGCCCCCCCCCCCCCAGATGGTATGGTCCCAGAGACGACGACGACGACGACGACGACGACGACGACGACGACGACGACGACGACGACGGCGACGACTACGACGACGGCGACGACGACGACGACGGCGACGACCACGACGACGACGACGGCTGCGGCGGCGACGACGCCGGCGGCGGCGGCGACGATGACGACGATGACGACGGCGACGACGACGATGAGGACGACGACGACGACGGACGAGGACGACGAGGACGACGAGGAGGACGACGACGACGACCTCTGAACCACCACAGCACCACACCACATCCACGGGGGGGGGAGGGGGGCAGCGCAGCGCAGCACCACGCCACGCCCACCTCTGAACCACCACAGCACCACACCACATCCACAGGGGGGGGGAGGGGGGCACCGCAGCGCAGCACCACGCCACGCCCACAGGGGGGGGCGGGGGGGACCATCGCGCGGGGGGGGGGGCCCAATGGCATCAGCATTGGGGGGGGGGGGCCCAAGCCCTGGACCATATATGCCGAGTGCTGTTTCTTTTCGTGTGCTCGCCTTGCTCGCCGGGGGCGGCCCTCCTTTTTGTTCTTCCTCCGCGCCCGCCGCTCGCCTTGAGCCCGTTTGTGCCAGACTCGGGCAGGTTTCCTTGCATGGCGTTCGCCCCCCCCCCCCCCCCCCCGCCCCTCTTCAGACGAATACCGGCGAGCAGGCGCCTTTCGACTTGCGTGGTTTCCGCCCTTGCAGGTCGTGTGCGGCTCACATCGGGTTCAAGCCCCCCCACCCCCGCGTCCATGCAAGTAAGCCTGCCAGAGTCTAGCAAGACAGGCTCCTTCTCCTCCGCCTCTCTGTGCGCAGTCAGGCCGGCACTACCCAAACATGCTTATGCTGTGTGTGCGCGCCAGCCCCGCAAGGGCTGCGCGCGCGCTCAGAAATCCTGGAGCATGAGCTCCGTTGCCGGCGCTTTCTGGCCATGCCGCTCGGAAGACGATGCACCATGAGCTTCGTGTGCGACATGCTCGTGTCGGACGTGCGCCTCCAGCATGAGCACGTCATTCGTACCAGTCTGTCCTTCTGCGTCCCACCAGGCTTCGCGGTGGCTCCCCTTTGCCCGATCGGCTCGTACGATCGCAGAGCCTGCGACCCAAAGTGTCCGTCCTGCTCTGCCTCGACGTCGAGCTGCCCGCTGCCCTGGGGCGGGTGGGCGGGGCGGGGGGGCGCCGCCCGCCGCAGGGCTTCTCCTCGACGCGTCCAGCCCGAACCTGTCCAGGTCCATGGCTGCCGTGCTGGGGCCCCTCATGGCGGCGGCGCCGGGCATTCGCATCGTTCAGGCGGCCGCGGGGGAGGGCGAGTCGGCTACGCCCAAGCGTGACCTTCCACGACCCCCTCGCGTTGTGAACAAAAACATCCGACGGGAGGTTTCTCGCTATTTTCGGCCCCTGGAAGCCCTTGCCGGGCCTCGGGACCATCAACAAAACGACTCAGGATGAAAATCCGGTCCAGGGGGTCCAGACTTCTGGGGGTCGACGTTGTGAAAAAATCACGACGTCGGGGGTCTGGGGCGTCAGCGTGACCTTTTTCGCCGAGGTGACTTCTGGTGCGGGCCCGACGGGACCCCCCGGTGGCCGCATGCGATGCGACGGCAGCGGCTTGCGCG